CGAGGCTTCCTGGCTCGGATAGGACTCCTGAGCCATCTCCGTATCCACAGATAGACCAAATGATGTCGTGGTCTTCTTCGAACTTAAGGACGAACAACCCTAGATAATTTTGTAAACTTCAATAAGATCACTTCTTAACCTTCTTTCTTCAAGATGAAATAAGAGATCTTAATCTATATCCCTGATGCAATCCTTCCATCCTCAGAAACATCCTAGTAGCCTTCCTCTGAACCCTTTCTAACAAGTCAACATCCTCTTAGGTAAATTTGGAGACCAAAATTGTAGACAATACTTAAAGCAAGGCTTGATTACTTCTTTGGACTCATAATCAATGTCTACAAATACATCCTAAAATTTTAGTCATTTTATGTGTGGAAAACCATGATGAGGTGACAAAATCTGATTGGCAAGACACCACATACTTCAAGATATATATATATATTACACATTATGATTGAAAGGTATCTGTTAGGTATGGTAATTCTCTTTACATTTATAAAAGACAGTTTTTAAAAATATAATAATTTTTAATTGTACATTAAAGCATAAAAACAATTCTTTAAGTATTTTCATAAATAATTTTTACATTTTTTTTAAATGTGAAGTTAATTTATTCTAAATATGTTATGTGGACTTAAATTGAAACATTTATTAGAAAAATGACTAATCATGGCTGGAGACCATTAGTTGACATCACCACTTTTTGTTAGCCTAAACATTAAGTTATCCTATTCGTAAGTTTGTCTATCCCATTATCACAGAGACTGTTTGGCCAGTATGGCACAGTGGCTTTACACTTTGGACTCGTAGTCAGGTGGTTGCAAGTTCAAGGTTAACCTGCAACATGCTGTTGTGTCCTTGTTCCAGATTGCTCATCCACACATGTGCACATCTTTTTAATGAAGCAAGGTAGTAAAAAATCACATAGAAAAGAAGTGGTTCATTATATTACAAATAGAAATCACAGACAGACACGCATGTGCATATGTCTGTGTGTTTGTGACTGCTGTAGATCTAAGAGGAAAGAACCTAGAAATTTGAAAGAAGTGGTTCCTTATATTAAAAATAGAAATCACACAGATAAACACTTATGTGCACACTTGCGTGTCTGTGTGTGACCGTCATGGCTTCAAAAAGAAAGAACCTAGAAACCTGAAATTTTGCACCCATACTAGTGGACCCTGAGGGAGTGCACCTAGGTATTACTTATCCACGTGAGTGCACATATTTTTAATGAGGCAATGTAGCAAAACACCACATAGAAAAGAAATGGTTCCTTACATTACAAATAGAAATCACAGACAGACAAGAATGTGCATGCATTTGCAAGTGCATGTCTGTAGGACCACCATAGCTCCAAGAAGAAAGAACCTAAAAACCTGAAATTTTGCATCCATACTAAGTGGACCCTTAGGGTATGCACCTGCATATTACATGCCTTATCCACGTACGTGCGTGCATACTCATCTTTTTAATGAGGCAAGCTAATAAAAAACCATATATGAAAAAAGTGGTTCCTTATATTACAAACAAATCACAAACAGACAGACACACACATACATCTTTTTAATGAGGCAAGCTAGTGAAAACACACATAGAAAAGTAGTGATTTCTTATATAACAACTTCTAATATATATACATATATATAGAAAAGCCAGTGCATTTTGGTAACAATGCATTCCAACATTGGCTTTTATGTCATATTGCTTAACAACAAAGTATACAAGTTATATGTTTATGCTAAAATGGGTTCAGAATACACACACTGACATAGAGATCTAAAGTATATCAACCTAATAACCCGAGAAAAGCCCGGTACTTTTGCTAATATATATATATGTAAAGCTAACATTTCCAACCCTCTAGTTACTATGCAAACATATTGTAACATCTGTTAGATTAAGTTTTTATCCTCCCTAAACATCAGTATTAACATTTAATAAACTTACATATTTTGTAGCAATTTTTAGCTTACATTTTTTCCTTAAATTTTAAGATTAAGAACTTCAGTTGCTGATTCTATATTTGGTAAGTTTTCAGTAGACTTGGATAATTCACAAATTGCTAAATTTGATTATATCACATTAAAAAAAAGACTGCACATTGCATAAATATTCAATGACTGATAATGAGATTATGATCAGCAACTAAACTTATTAATGCATTCTTAACATACAGTATGATAAAAAAGGAAAGGACATCTAAATCATTGTAAGGAGCTTGAGCACAATCCAAAATAAAATAAAGAATCATGTACATTGATAAATCCAGTACAATCCAATAATGAGAAAAGAAATGATATTTCTTCAACTAACCAGCATGATTAAGAGACATTTGTTAGGTATGACCATTCTGTGCATTGATAAAGACTACAGTTTTTGAAATAAATATTATATTTTAAATAATTTTTGCTGTTTCTTTATATGCAGTTAAGATAAAGTGAAAGTAATAAATATTTTATTATAACCTGGAGTTAACTTTCTCCAAAAGTCAATACATTTTTATGATGTTAAAATTAAAAGAGAATGAGCTTGTGAAGTCTGGTGAAATTGTTACCTTTAAGTTTTATTAGGCAGTTTATATGTGACCGACAGTAAAATGAGTTTTCTCTAACGGTACAAAGTACTTATATGTGAAAACATGTTCTGAAACAATAATGTATTTCAGAAACGAAAAAGCGGGTTTTCTCATAAAAATACTGCCCGAAATATCTTTCATTAGCATATAGTTTCTTTACAACAGATGATGACCTCATGAAAATCAATTATAGTGCAATCCCTTTTTTTGTTTTTTAAAGGTAGAAGTCATTGAAGGTGAACTAGTGTGTCCAGAAACTGGCAGAAAATTTCCTGTTAATGAAGGAATACCCAACATGCTTTTGAACGAAGATGAAGTATAAAAATTCACATTATAATTATTGCCTCGTTGATATATGTTTAATAACTCTTTCTCATCTTTAAGCTGTACATAACTTGCTATTTTGTGTTTATATTTCTCATTAAAAGTTGCTGTCCTTAAACCTTTTTGTATTTATTTCTTATTAAAACAACAACAACAGTTACCAGACAATTTATAGTGATTTATTTTCCAAACATTTTACATAAGCAAAAATGTGCAAAAACAAATAAGATATTACCTTAAAGAGAACTCTTTAGGTATAAATTTACTTTTTCATCAATAACAGTGTTCAAATACAATTGCAACATTAAGTGTGAGAAAAGTATCTGTCACATAACAATCTTTGTTTTCAAAACTCAAAACATTTTAATTTTCTCATTGCCATGAGCACGTCTTCCTCTACAGAAGTGACATGCGAGTTTGGTAGTTTGTACTATGAAGAAAGTGTAATTACCCTCCAAAGTTTACCACATTCACGTTTCAGATTAATATTGAAATATTAAAACATGCACCCTTTTTTTGTTTTTATTATGCATTGGGAGAGTTATTTATCAATAAACATGGCAGTGAAAGATTTAATTAGGAGAGAAATGTGCTCTTTACACACTATAAAAAAGAACTGATAATATAGACACTGTGTAAATAATAATAGCAAATGCAGAAATCAGTTGTACCATACTTAAACCTCATGCATACAAAACATTGTAGCACAAAAATACATAGGCCCATCGTGATTCAAATATACAGTAATTTGAACCACGAAAAGTAAAAAATATACTTCTTTGAGAGTAACAAATTTTAGACTACCTTGTATTTTCCACATTGCAAAATGCTAACATTTGTTTTTAGCATTATAAACCTTGAAAGCATGCAAAGCAACGACATATGAAATAGTTTAGTTTATTATGAATTTCGTGCAAAGCTACACGAGGGTTATCTGCACTAGCCATCCCTAATTTAAGACTAGAGGGAAGGCAGCTAGTCATCACCACCCACTGCTAACTCTTGGGCTACTCTTTTGATCCCCCAAGGCTGAAAGGGTGAGTATGTTTGGTGGGACTGGGATTCCGAGTCGAGTACCCGAACCACCTGGCCATGCCAGGCCAACATATGAAATACACATTTACAATACCATAAACATTAAACACGTACATTCTGTAGCCTTTATATCAAAGAACACTTGATGCACAGCAAATATGAAATATACTTGGATAAAAACTAATTGTTTGCAAGAAATTGCTAACATAAGGGTTCTTACACTATTTATCTCTTGTGGGGTATGCAATATTGGCTAGTTCCTCAGTAAATTTCTGGTCATAGCCATAGAGCAAAAATTGAAAGATGTGAAAATTCCTTTAAAATGATAATTATCTCTAAAAAGGTTTTCAAAATATTTAAGAAATTTCATTTTCAATTTATAGCTTAAATACATTTCTCAATATCTTATTAATGTGTCTTCAAAACTTCATACATATTTTTCAGTCCAAAAGCCTAAACTATAAACAACCAAAAATTCTAAATTCCCAGTGGAAACCAGCAAACCCTAGTTTATATGTATTTTTCTTCAAGCAGACATTTGTATAGCTTGCTTCATTCAGTTAAAAAGCTGCTAAAAATTACTTAAATCAGTAAAATCTAGCACACACACTGATTGTAACTACTTATGTTATATTAGCAGTGTAGTCACTGTCTGAAGTGGCATTTAGTTTGTTATATTATATTCTGTACTTTTTAATAGAGGTTGTTCATTGGTTAAGAGACAGATGTCATACATCACTCTAGCAACATCCTGTTTGCAACTGAGTGATTTAATATTTTGAAGTAGTTGTTCTTAGTACTTAAAATGGTGAAAACTCTCACTCAAATATATAAATCAAGCAATTTTGAAACAATCTTTTAACCTTTTCCAGACTGCAGTGCACCTTTCAGGCATCAAATAACCACAAGTATTATTTTCACCCTAGTGGAGTAATTCTTTATTGTTTTTATTTACCACTTGTGGTATATCCAGGTAAACTGAATATGGATTTGAGATTTACTTGATAGGTCCACTTAACGGGAGATGTGAACAAGATATGGTACAATATAAAGAAAAAAAAAAGGTGCTAAATTTTACTTGCCAAGTTTGAGCTGAACACAACATGTAATGAACAATGAACACAATCTTTAATAAAACTTAAAACATGAAGGACGTTGCTCTCGACATCCTGAAAATGAGTTATCCAATTCTATTAACAAAAAGAGTTCAGTAGTATTTTGAAAACTGGTTAAATCATTAAGGAGGAACCTAAAAAACATTAAGCACTATATGATAAGTTATCAGTTTATACTTACTACTTCATACAACAATAAAAAGTAGTATCAACAATTACCATTAAAAACAGCTCTTGATAATAAGTAGTCAGCTTAAAAATTCACCTCAAGTACTGATGGAGCAACTTCATCTTTTGGCTAGTAAGCTTTGAAAATTTTATTTTTCAACCATAAATAAAGCCATATTCAGAGAAAATTTAAAATAAATGTACTGTTTCTAAAAAAGATGATGAGATTGACGATTTAACCAATAGTAATAATAATTACTTTCTCATGTAATCAGTTTGTGAAAAAACAACCATAAAAGTAAATGTTATGAAGATTTGAAAATATAAGGATACATCCTATAATACTGTAGCTATGCATTTTCTCACGAATCCACCAATGTTTAAAAATAGCATTTCAAGTCTTATTTTGTCAATGACTGGTAATTGCACAGAATACCTTTCATTCAATACCAGAACCAATAAGCTAGGTTAATCTAATGGCAGCCAACATTTTATCTGATAAACTATTTATATGCATAATAAAAACAGCGTAAATGAAAATGAACACTTAAGCTGACAATGTATGAAATCTTTATATCTTAAAAACATGCTAGCATATCTGCACATTATTTTTAATCAGTCAATTCCAGTTTTACACCAGTGATGTGTAAAATGAGCACTTTTGGGTTATTTTTTGGTTTGCTACTAAATAAATTCAGTCTAACATATTACAAAGCATACTTTAACATATCAGTGGCATCGGTAACAAAAAAGACATACAATCTTGGGCCGTGTTCTGAAAGCACTGATACAGAATCTTTTAAGGTCCGTTTTATGTACCTTCGGTGTTCAACAAATTCTGCTTTCAAACTAACTGGGAAGTTGCCTTTTAATGGCTAATACAGTTATTCTTCCCAAAGCAGATACACTTACAGTTCAATTAGTTGTCAATCAACAGGAAAAGCTTTGAAATCAAAAATAAATACATAATACAGAAACCTGGATTTTATAACATGAAGACTGTCATTTGCTTTGTTAAAAGAGGAAAAGTCAAGGTAAGACTTGAAAACATCTCATCCATGGCTAGAGTTCACTTATATTACTAGTATCTCATAACATTGAATAAATTTTAATGGTGAAAACTTTGTTAATTTTACGTGGCCAAGTTTGTCCATCTGTAAAATGTATTAGTTGCTGTTTCGTTCTTCTTTTGTACTAAGATTAAAGTTGCTTTGGGATTCAAAATAAATATTTAATGGCACAATGACTTACCTACTTAAGTGATGTTTTGAATCAAGACAGTTTAATGGTGATACTTCTTTCCACCATGAAAAATATGTTTAGGATTACTATTTTTGCTTGAAAGCAAAATTTATATTACAAATAAAATTTACATGTTCGTGTGACAAATCTTTCTGACTCTGTATATCAAAAGCAGTGTCAAAGTGACCTATATTTAAGCCTCTAATGCAAACACTGCATAATGTGAGATGGCATTCCTTAATTTTTTGCTAATCTTTATATTCATATTTTACATACCTTTTCCTCTGTCATTTAGTTGAGTTGTCTCGAGTTTGTTTATGCATCCTGTTAAAATCAATTGTAACATTATTTTCATAGTGAGACAAAATAACACTAGGTGGCACTGAAGTATTTGTCAAGATAACTATGGTCATATCTGTATATAAATCAGTGTGTCACTCTTATGTAAATAGACACATGGTGGTTACACTTGGGCCCAGATAGTAAAACATGTTTTCAGCTATGCTCTTTTCCAGGCCTGTTGAAGCTCCCCTCCGGGGATTCTGCCAGTAATCTTCAATAGATTACCCCATGCCAAATCGGCACCTTCATCAAATAATTTAAGCCTAAAGTATCAATTGATCCCATGGAGACGAGAATCCTTCAATAGGAAGGAATATTTCTCCAGCCTTCAAGCCACACTGAATTAACTTACCTCTGTAGTTCCTGAAATCTCTTCCCTCGTGTCACCTGCACAACCCCTAAAAGTAAATCTCACCTTTTCACAGTTTTTCTTCCAGGCACTTACCTTACCATAATACCTAAAGAAATCCAACAGTCCCTAGAACAATCAACCAACACAAAATTACGTGCAGTTCACTGGATCCACTCCTGATTAACCGGCAAGACAACCCAGCTCATGAAAATCATCATACTATCCAAACCAACAGCAGATCTTATCCTCAATTACAGTTGCTATTTCCAATACTTTCATTTTAAAGCGAAAAATCCTTATAGGACTAATGTAGACAAGCCTTGCCACTTATAGCACCATCAAATAATCATCAGTACTTCAAGTCATTTAGTAAAATTGAATATGTTTCTAAATTTAGTTCTAGAATAATACGTTTGCATTTGTTACCTGTAATGCCGTAAAGCGATCATTTTCTAGAATCTAAAGTTGTTGGTTAAATTTGTTCTCTTTTGCGAAAGGTTAAAACAACAATAATGGCTTATAGACTAATTTATAAACCGAGTCTTCAAGTAAAAATAACCTATTTTTTGTCACAAAACTACAAAATACGGTATCTACGCTCTGGCCTAGTCTATGAAGGCAAGTTTTCTCTGGGCGCTCCCCTTCCTCCCCCATGATAAAAATTCTCTAGCATTGGATTTATAGATCCCTGCCACCCTAAAGGACCCTTTGTCTCACAGGGGCTGTTTGTTTCGAGAAGCACTGATGTGTGGATCTCCCACTCTCATGGATTTCTCAACTTTTAAGGCATCTCCCAGTTAATTAAAATCACCCATGTTAAAACTGTCATTTCCAACAATCTCTGGAAAAATCACAAAGCATTTCCAACAAACCATTGCCAGGTGTGGGGCAAAGAGGAATTACGTGAACTCTGAACACCTCTGGTTTTAAAACAACCTAAATTTCTGCTATGATTATGTAAATAGATTGATCAGATATTCTGTCAACAGTCAATAATTGTTCAACATTGATTGCAATCTCATTGTATGATAGCAAATAAAAGAGAATTGAAGACTGATATGCCAGATACACAAGGATGTGGAGCATTGATTGGATATTGCTTGATGCTCAGTTAGAGCTTATAAGTGTTGTAAGCAATCAAATGGTTTTAAAGATGTTGTATTATCAAGCAGATTTTGTGGTTACTTACAAAGTTAGGATTTCTTATTTTTGGTTCACAAGATTATGTTGTCAAATGTTTGAAGTTCAGTTATGTTGTTTGTAAAGACACACGCCTAGGATTTTCAAATTTTGTTCCATTTAACTTGTGAAAGTTCTAAAAAATACTCTTGTTTCTTTGAGGATCTTGGTATAAACATTGGATTATTCTCAATGGAGAACGAAATATTCATTACAGTATCATCATATTTTTAGGAATCCAAAAGTTTTTACTTTGCCAACTTATAACTCAATAATATAAAAGCATAAGTTGCCAGTTAAAGAATAACTTTCAAAACAATTATTAATTTATTATGCTTATAAACTGGATACACAAGTACCTACAGGTAAAGAATGCTATAACAGATTTTGTACATATAATTTATAAATTTTATTCACATTAACAATCTTTCAGAGATGATTTATGGAAGAGTTGATTAAAAAAATAGGTCAGAAAATTTATTAATACCAAGAAATAAGACATTCAAGCTAGACTGTGAAATAGGTTTTGATTATATAGTACATTATAAGAGAATAGTTGCTAAAATTCTACAACAGAAATGACAATTAATAATAAATAGTCTTCATTATGAATAACAGTCAAACTACAAAAAGCTTCTATGACCACTCTGCCCAAGGTTATCCAGTTGGGTATACCCTCACTGTAAGCAGTGTTTTTGGCCCTCAACTGAAAAACACTTGACAAAGTTGGGCCTCCTTAGTGAAATTATCAAGCACCAAAGCAAAACTGTCACATGTAAAGCTTCATGTATCATGCCTAACACATTTGGCCAATGTAGTTATTACTAGGTAATAAACTTAATTTTATATATATATATATATATTAATCTAGCTAACACTCTAAAAAGACATATTGAAATATTTATATTTAATACTATAAGTTACAGAAACATATACACTTATATCTTATTTAGTATGTGACAATTTCCAGCTAGATGTCCACAAAACAGCAGCATAGCTTGTGTATTCACATAGTGACTAATGGTGGTGTGAATCATGGTTCAAGTAGTGGTCTTTTGTGTGCTGCTATCAACTGCAGTTTTTTTTTTTTTACAACAAAGAAAGTTGTCCTTCTGCAGGTTTCCTCAGGAGAAACTAATTTGAGCTTTTTTATCTACATCATTAATGTGATGTTTCCTCCATGTTGAAATGTTATTGTATCAGTGGGGGCCAGAGATACTGCACCGGTGCAATGGATCGTGTTTTTATGACGTTTAGATATATTAACCTTTTGTATATGACTCAGAGTTCATTTTTAAATGTGTATTACAGTTATTCGCATTAAAAGACAGACGTAAAATAAATTTGAATCTGTGACAGGTAAAAATGAGTACAACTTCAGTAACTGATGGACAAGAGTTCTGAGGAGATAAAAGTTAAAAGTTCTGTCCAAACCACATTTATGAATTTACCTCAACGGAATGCACTGGTGTGGAATGCTGTACCTACTCTGTTAGAAATACCATATCTCTCTGCAAAAGTCACTCCCAATTCTTAGCTTATTTAAGCTGTTTAAGATTACTTACATCTGCATTACATGTGCTGGCAACTGATTCTGGACATATCAACATATTTAGTATACGCATGTCATAATGTTTTTTTTTATTTTTATTATTACTGCAGAATAACCACCGAAAAAGAGTGCCAGAACTAGACATACAAAATAAAGCAAAGGTTAGGCTGACTATCAAGGAACAGCAATTATAAATTTGCCATTTGGTAAAGGAAATTGAATATTTCAAAAGCAAAGCTATCCACTTGAATAAGTAACATATTCAAAATGGCTTCTGCAAACTTACCAGAAACAAACTTGGGATACAAATGAAAAATGAAATACAAATTGTGGTTATAGATGACAAAATACTGTATCTCAAGGTAAATTATCCAAGTATAAAAGCACACATTTTTGTGCAAGTTTCTCTTTACCATCCATGTAGTCCTAAACAACACAATATATACTATATTAAACATATGCCAGCATTTCAGAACAAAGTGCTTAATACTCTGAGGAAATTATTTCTAAGTTAAAACTCTGGGTCACAAGTCTGAATTAGAGTACCCTTAAAAATTTCAAATACTACTGTTATCGGGATGAAGTTATTGGTCTTGAAGACTATAGTTCCATGGTGGCAAAATAAGGAAATTTGTAAATCAAGCTTTGGTTTCCATGGTGCAAAGCCTAATCACTGAACTAAAATGGGTAATGTTATTCCTAAAGCAACATTATAAGTAACACTAAATGAGGCTACTGCAAAAAATGACTCCATCAGCGGAGTAATGAAAATTGTGTTCAAGCCATATTTTGAAAAATATTTACTGCTTTTGATCCTCCCCAGTTATTGAAAAGTGCATAGAATAAACTTGTAAAAAAACAAGATGCATGATGTTAATGGAAACCAAAAAAAGTAGAGTTACAGTTAAAGCATTTTTTATGACAAAGATACCATGTGCCCAAAGCTTTGACAAAATCAAAAGGATCTCATAACATTTTCAAAAATGAGTGTGTGATTAGCTACATAAGTGCTAAGGCACACAGAGAGTGCTATGAGTAGAAGGCTAGTACACAGCTGATGTTTTTGAATCAAGAAGTTAATCACTTGTTTGTTTTAATTCCATTAAATGTGTTTTGAAATGTCACACAGCTGAAAAAACTTCTATATCATTCATATAATGTTTTAAAATTAATGTAAAGTGTGGTGATCAAATTTAAATCCATACCAAATATGAATTATATTCTATTAAAGAATGGCACTTATCAATTTCTCTTGTAATAACAGTGTGGGGAAATCTCAACTCCCAGTACCTCACTGGTACTGATTTTTTTTAACAAATAGGCTTTTAGATTTACTGTTTTAAGACAGGCTGATAATTGCCAAGATAATTCTACTTCATAACAGTTTGGCTGCATAACTAAGCAGTCTCTTGTAAATGCATTTGTTCTGACCAATGATTTGACAAATTAGAGCAAGAGCAGAGACAGATTTATATTACCAATAAAATGTTTTCTGTTGAACTTGGTTATTTTTGAAGTACTTATGATTATTTGCTGAATGAAACCTATTTTTGATAGATATTTACACAACAAAAATATATACACAAAACATTGTATTTAGAAGAAAATTGTGAAAGTTCTTTTGTCATAGGTGGATTCAGTAGTTTTCACGACATATAACAGTGTGAAGCAATCAGTATGACAATAGATTATTAAAAAGAACAGTGCTAGTTTTTATAACAAATACTTTTGTATTGTTTTCAAGTATGAGTATTTGACCAATGGTCACAAAGCAATATTCTTGGAGATTTTAATGCATTGCACAAGTACAAAATAAAATAAAAATTAACATGCCACACAATGTTTAACAAACTTGTTAAATAAATATTAGGTTGTTTGTTTCCTACTTTGCAGTAAATTATGTTCAATATAATAAAACAGAAAGATATATAATATAGATAAAAATAATACATGTCACGTAAATGTGATTATAAAAGGAAAAATTACAGAAAAAATGACAGAGAATGCTATAACATGGATGAATCCTAGGACACAACTTTACTTGATTGCTTGTTGATTTAACATTAATATAATAGTAATATTTTTCTGTATGCAATAATATTCATTCACATGCTTTTTGTAAGTAAAGTATAACAAAACAATAAAATATCACACAGCAATTAATTGAATAAACAGCCAAGTAACAATTTCATGAAAGCCAAAGCACGTGCACCAGTTAAATATCTGAAACTAGTAAAGAATCCAGCATCTTTGAACTTGCTCCACCGGTTGTTTCACTTTCGGGTACAAATCTGTTCAAGGCTGGTCCTTTTCTTAAAGCAGGGTTAGGACCTTTATGATTATTAGGATCTGGACCACTTAATGGCACATAATCTTTGCTAAATATAAAACAACAACACTAACTTTAATATTTAAAGTGGCAGAAAGATAATGAAGAAAAACTTTAAATCATCACTTACCTTTTCAATCAGCAATAATGAATAAACACCCATAATAAAATAAAAATTCACTTAGAAAAAGTAGTATTATGGTTACCTTACTTAAAATGTTTAATAATTTTTATACAGTTGCATTCCATGCTTATTAAGAAATTCACTAATGTGAATAAATATTTATTTTACAGTGAATTTTAATATCATAAGTCTGTTAATATGTTCTTTTTACATGAAATTTTCAATCAAACACATCCAGATTCATTACTGACATACACTGAACATGTAGATATTACAGTAACCATGGAAATGAGAAACTTCTTAATAATTTACCACGTTAACAGGAAGTGGCTACTGCAACCTTTAAAATAAACAATTGTTCCTTTCTCTTTTGGGGTACACATCATGTTATCTATTTATTTACTGTAAAAAAATGTATATTGTAATTGGTAGAATTTATGAAGTTTTTGTAAAATTTTCATATGCTCTTGTAGGAGATACTAAAATGAGAAATTATATTAGAACTATTATATTAGAGTATTACTATGAATAGTGAGAAAACCAGAAGGAATATTTTCATAGTCTGTGAACTCTGTACCTATTAAATACTCAAAAACTATAATAATATCAACAACTTATTTAACAGTTTAAACTTTTGTTGCAGTTGAATGAACTGCTAATTTCACCCTTCCACAATTATTCTGGTAATTTTTCTAAATTTTCAATCAAGTGTTCTGATTGTGATTACTGATATTCTTATGAAGGATGTACATTTGCACTAATCTTCTATTTTGGACAAAGTTTACCACATTGATTTTTCTGCAAGGCTGTGGTTGGCTCTGTTTCTGTGTCATTTCTTCTATAGTAAAGACCATAGTTATTTCAGTGGGTGGTACAGACTTATACAAGTTATTACGAGTTGGGGCTTATATCCTTTTACTGTGTATAATAGGAATGACTGCTCATGTAAACAGTTTAAGGCAGAGATTCTCAAACTGTGGTATATGGAGCTAATATTGGTGGTACAGGACAGAATTAATAAAAGAAATAATAAAATTTGTAATTAGCCCTATTTGAGCTTTCCACATACATTTACTTATTACTCTCCTCATTTATAGACTCACCTTCTACCTGAATAGACTCGCCAGTATTTTCTTCATTTCAAATTGACAAAAATGGTACCACATATTCTTCAATCGTAACAGAAAAAACAATCGCATCCTTGGGTAAGTGTTAAGAATATGAATTTTTCTTATTAGGTTTTTTTTATCGTCCTTTTTTTTCTTAATTAGGCCTAGGTTTGTAATTTTAAAAAAATTCAACAAAAAGTGGTACATGAGCCTGAAACGTTTGAGAACCACTGGCCTAAATGAATGTGTGACACCCCTACTAGAACTTTGGTCTGACCTGAGTGTGGTATCATCATTATACTAATTCTTGTTTCTGTCCTATGAAGATCAAAGTCCTCCTCCCCCTCTCTCTGATGCAGCAGTTAGAAGTTTACAACAAACTTAGAAGCTGGCTAGTTAAGTCAAAAATTCTACTGGCTGTAAACAAAAAATCTTATTTATTCATTTGCTTCAATCTTCTGCTATCCATCTTTGATATTCTTTTCAGCGTAACATTTATGGAACGTGCTATATTGGGATACTTATAATTACCTGTTCAACATTACTGTACCTTAAGCCTTCCATTAAGAACTGGGTGGAATCCACCCAGCTCATAACCAGAAAGTATCTATGAGAGTAACTGTTCTATAATTTTTGAAACTGTATGGAAGTCTTTACAGAATTTTGCAGATTATTAGAAAACATTACAAGGATTTCATACACAAAATATATGGTTTTTGAATTATGTTTTAAGATTTTTTTATTAAAAATTTGCTCATGAATTTTTTCTTTTAGAATGTTGACTATTCAACGTACAAAGTAATTTTCATTTTAAGATTAAAAATACTTTATCTGAAATTTCTCAAGTTTTATTTGCATAAACTCTATATCCTTCTAGATAATCATCAAACGTTTCTTTTAAATAAAACTTTATATTTAATCTGTTATTTTATCAATATTAACTCTATATGGTGTTAATCGATTTCACCGACCTTGTAACCATCATAACAATTAGGAAATAAATCTAAGTTATCTTTTTTGTTCTAGAATAACTGCAAATTTAAATAGGAAACCACAAATGCTTATTTTAAATACCTTAAATCTCTTAAGAGTATAAATCTATTTATGTTTATTAATTTTTGTTTTATTGACCTTTGAACTGTGTCTGACTAAAAATACCGACAGAAGTTGAAAATTACACGGCCCGCGCGCATCAGTATGACCCTATCGAACAGCAAAATGCATAAGCTTCTGGTGCATACACCCCCATGAAGGTTTTTTTATTATTATTCTTTCATTATCAAACTTAACAACTTTCTATTTTTATGATTTTAGTTAGTTTAACAATACCTCCAAAATCCACTGTAATTTATCAGGTTTCCTAATTAAATTGTATTCAGGTCTAAAAAATATAATTTCTATTCACAAAATAGCCTTGTTAGCAATACTTTAAACTTTCTAATGATATAAGAGCATTTCTCTCATAAATAACTCGGAAGGCTGACAGAATTATGATGAATAAATAAATAGCTTTCGATTGATTATAAATTTATTGGTATATAAAAATAGGCATAGATACATAAGTCTTCTCAAATGATGAAGTGGTGGGCAGAGCCAATATGGTGGGTTCACTAAATATCATGATATCTCAGCAAATAGAAAAGGTAGGAGGTTCTTATTTTATATTCTAGCTTGCCAGTATTGATCATTTGAGTTTCTAATTTGTACGAAACTGTAGATGTTGTCTTGTGGGCATCATAAATGTATTCTGACCAAACCCAGAAGGCCACATACCATGTGACACACAAAAATCGATATTTAGCCTTTTTTTTAATATAGTTTCAAATTAAGAAACTAACTAATGTACAATAGTAAAATTTGAATTATAATCTATAATTTAATACCAAATTTATTGAAATACATTTATAAAATAATAGTTAAAAAACGTTGAATGTAAATCTACAAACAGGATGACATGCCCTCTGACCCCTACCTGTCTCGATAGCGTTAATACCAAACACTATTTTGTTAGTTGAACAGCAAGCACATACTTGCTATAAACTCACAAAGCAACTAAAAGTTAGTTTCATACTACTTTTTAATAGAGAATTAAAAAAAACAGTTAAAACAGCCACTTACAGTAGAAGATCATCACATGGTCCCTTGCGAAGTCTAGGATCTGGACCTTTAGCATGAGTCCTGTACATAGACGTATGCTGTTGATCTTCTTGAGTACTTGTGCCTTTCGAGATTCTGCAGGTTATTGGAGAGAAAATCATTATGATATCTAGAACACATAACTATATGCCTGTTATAATACAAAAATATTTTAAACTAACACAAAGTAATTTTTCAGTGTACTAACACCACATTCTAAGCTTTATGAGAGAGTTTATTGATCACTTACTTTTTAAATTTTTTTACTTAATGTTTTCATACAAATGCCATTACTTCTTAAATCAGTGGCATTAAAACAAATCCATAAAAATAAATTTATACGAATAAAAAATCTAATCAACTCTTAAGTATTAATCTGATGTGTAATATAGTATGTTCTCTTACACAAAATATTCAAAAAGTAAAAATACTTCAGATACTACCGAGTGACTACTTTAGTAACAATACAAGTAAAAAAACTGGGACACACACACACACACACACATGATAATATACATCATATGTTATACAAAGGCAAGATACACTAGCTTCTAGCATCAAAGTTGCATATCAACAAAATAACCGTTTCATTGAAAAGTATTTGCTTCAGATAACACACAAAAATACTCAGTTTTTGCATTGTTGATAAGCATGTCTCACCTAACACTTGTGTAATAAGCCTGGAAAAAAATATAGCAAAACCATGGTGACATTGAATTTTTCATTTTACACATTAGCAATTAAGATCTCTGACTATTTCACCCACAAGTCTCACACTATGTCACTTAAAAGTTAATTTATACATCTTTTTCGTGACTCTCATTTCTCATCAAACTCAGCAGTTAAAACTTTTTTTGCAAGATAATAAGCTAAAAGCGGAAGTTTACTTTTTAAGAGTTTTACTAAGATGTTCAACTAAAGAAATTGAAAGACTTGACATTTAGGCATGAAGTTACATACAACAAAGCTGACAGAGCATAACATTAAAAAAAAAATTTCTGCAAATAAGTCATGTGTTTTCTTCTCACAAGAGTTGTAACCATTACAGTTAGCAGTGGTCATTGACCTTGGAATTCTCACCTAGAAGTTACATTATTTTAAAACTTGTGTTGCTGGGGTAAAACACTTAACAAGAAGAAGAAAGATCTGACAAAATATAGATAAATTACGGTTAATTTTTTCTGAGGTAATAAGGAAGAGACACGACAGAAGGTTTAAAAATGAAATCCATACAGCATGAGAATATTAGAGGTGAAGGTGAAACACCATTAGTAGGTTTTGTCTATTATATAGGTATATCAACAGAAAACATATCAGAATATTCATATCACTATCTACAAATGTGGATGTATAGTAGGAATTTTAAATTCTTGAAAAACTGGTATAATTTGTGTAAAATTGAATATTTCAATATTTGAGTTTCAGTCAGCAAATTCAGAATAAATAACTGGTATTAGATAAAAAGATGATATAAACAATTATGCATAAATATACACACACACACACCACTGTGAAAGAACAATTACAAATAAATTATGGAATATTGTAGACAAACTTTGATGTTTTGCACATAAGTTACAAGATTAGTTAACATTTCTTATATTTGAGTTTTCAATGATAGTTTTTTTACTTGTATTACCTACCTTATATTTTATTTTTAAATGATAACCTTTTACTTGTATTATGTACCTTATATTTTATGTCTATATGATAGCCTTTTACTTGCATTACCTACTTTATATTCGATTTTTAAATGAATTACAAGATTAGTTAATATTTCTTATATTTAATTTTTAACTGATAGCCTTTTACTTGTATTACCTACCTTATATTTGATTTTTAACTGATAGCCTTTTACTTGTATTACCTACCTTATAATTGATTTTTAACTGATAGCCTTTTACTTGTATTACCTACCTCATATTTAACTTTAAATGATAGCCTTTTACTTGTATTACTTACCTTTTATTTGATTTTTAAATGATAGCCTTTTACTTGTATTACTTACCTTTTATTTGATTTTTAAATGATAACCTTTTACTTGTATTACTTACCTTAAGTGATACGAGTGAAGCTCCTCTTTACCACTTTCTCCTGTGTAAGAAAAAAAAAAAAAACATGATTATTACATGATTTGTATTGCATGAAAATAAAATCCAGACCCATGTTCACATTAGTTATGAGAAACAGCCTCTTTGGTTTCTATTTATTTATTTTTTTTTTCCATTTGTTCAATTTTGGTATAACTCGTACTGGAGAAAGTTTCGGCTAATGTGTGTTTTCTTATTACTAATTCAGTAAAAAAAAACTGGAAGAAAATTTATTCAAGGCTATTACCACAAACTTTTAAATATACATGCTATTTCAATTCTAACTAAATAAAAAGCAACAATCAAAAATAGTAATCACACAATTTTTTTGACAGCCCAAACTGCCCCTCCTGGAACCTCATTTTACTCATGACTGTGACCTTGGATGTGATTATCTTTGCTTAAAATGTCAATACATTAAGTATAAAGCTTTCTGTAAACATTTTGATGGTCAACAATTCTTACCCAGTTATTAGCTAGATTGAGCAATTACTGAACAAAATAAACTGTAAAATAAAACATAAATGCATAGTATTTCAATATGAATGTGGTTAAAATTATTTTCCATAAACTTTATTCAAAGCTAATTAAAGGAATACAAGTCACACTTTTTATAACACCCATGTGCAAAGTAGTCCTGGTTGTTGTTGCCCAAACACCTCCCAATGCTTAGCTTTAGAACATGTAATGTGAAGAGCCAAGGTATAAAAATGGCATCTTCAGTATTCATTCATAATTATGTTTTTACACCATTCACTATCAGTGAGGTCCACATATTACATAACATTGAGTAGTTTTGTTATAGGCCTCCTAGCAGCATCTGTTGTTGCCAGCTTTACAATAAGGCTAAATTTGACAAATTACAGGTTGAAATTGATTAAAATACAGGCTACTTTTAGCACACTCTTTCTTGTGGAGGTGCCACATTATAATCAGTTAAGTCCTATAGGACCAAATATGGGTACTTATTTTAAACGTAGTTGTTTTTCACCTTATATTTATCTTGTAACTGTTAAAATACATGGGTCACTCACTGGCTAATATGAGTGTCTGATTCATGGCACAAGGCTTACAGCTACAGCTTAAAGTGCTGAATTTTACATTTTAAATAAAGAGCAAAAAATGTTTCCATAAATACACATATTTTACATATTGAAGCATTAAAAAGCGGACTGCTACCTAGATGTTACAGATTTTGTAAGTGCAACTTTTGAATTATTTTTCTATTTTTCTTTTTATGTATCTTTAGTTACTGAAACATATTTTTAAAGTGACCTCAGACATAAAAGGTGTGCTTGAATGGCAATGTGCTCTAACAATGTGACAAAGAATAATGCTATAATATTAATATTCATAAACTGTTGGAATTAGTTATATCTATATCAAAAGTAATGAAATTTTCATAACTATATTTAGTTAGCAGCTAAACCTAAAAATACTTTGAAATTTAAACTTTTCTTCCTAAAATTTTTATTTTATTTTTAATTTTCATTACTTAGTTCAATATTTAGATAACATTACGTTTTTCATGTTTGATGGACCACTTTCTGGCTTTTTCATGAGCAACCTCTTCCACATTAGGTGTTTCACTCAAATCTTGAACAGGAATTTCTGGAGTCCCATGTTCCTGAATAGATGAATCAGCCACTTCACTGGTAGAAAGAGTTTCTTCAGCTGATGTTGGTTTTTCTTCCTGAGTTTGACTTCCTGAAATGCTATAAAATTAATAAAATTAGCTTACAAAATTCCAATTTTATCATAATTTTTGGTGTTAAACTGAAACAACTGATCTCAAAAGAATAACAATAATTAAACAACATTTGAATATAAGTTAACAAAAAGGTATCACAGCTAGTTATTTTAAAATAATTGTTTTACCCAAGAGAACATTGGTCAAACACATTCTAGAGTAATTTTTTGATAATCTTGAAAGTGAATAGAAAACAAATTATTAAAAAGCTTAATTCTAACATAATTAATAATAATAAAAAGTTTAGGATAAGTGTTGTCAGTTATGATTTAATTTGTTCCAGTATTGTTAGATCCAATATTCAACAAATACCCATTAACCGGGTGACCAACTTAAAAGTAGTTCTGTAGGGATAAAGAACACAAAGGGAAAAAAAATGTTCAAAGTGAAAATTTAAAACAAAATTTTTGCAGTCTAAATACAAATAACCAAATGCTTCAACAAACTGGATAAAACTGCAGTGTAATACCAAATTAAACAAATTAATAAGAGGTTAACAAAACAAGTCACAACTGTACAAACATATCACTAATTGAAAATGGCTAACATCAGATAAATAATACACATGGGCACAAAAAGCTGATAAAACATCAAACTTCTAACAGAATGATGCTTACAGTCATTATATTCTGGAAAATATTTTTTTGTGTGATGATGAATTAGTAAAACATTGTAATAAAACTTAACATTTTATGTCACAAATATAAAACAAAATAATATTCACTTCTTGTCCCTTATCAATTCATTTATTAAGACAAAATTTTAACACAGTAACATTATAGAAGTTTTTATTAATATATGTCCTGGGGGTGAGACTCAATGGTTCACACTTCTTTAGTCTCTGCCCTATGAATAACTTTTACACCAATAACAAGATTGTTTGTTTGTTATGGATTTTGCGCAAAGCTACATGAGGGTTATCTGCACTAGCCGTCCCTAATTTAGTAGTGTGAGACAAGAGTGAAGGAAGCTAGTCATCACCACCCACCGCCAACTCTTGGGCTACTCTTTTACAATGAATAGTGGGATCAACCATCACATTATAATGACCGTCACATTATAACGTCCCCACAGCTGAAAGGGTGAACATGTTTGATGTGACAGAGATTCAAACCCGCGACCCTCAGATTGCGAGTCGAGTGCCTTAACCACCTGGCCATGCCGGGCCTACCAATAACAATCAGAAGTTGTAAGTAATATTTAATAAAGTTAGAGTTTAATATTCATTGCTTTAGTTTTCAGCACTTACACATCTGCATTTTTCATTGATGTCAGCATGATTCTACCATTTGATTCATTGTAACTGCAGCTTTCCAGAACCATCTGTATCACATATTTATCAAATGTTGGAAATTCTTGCTCCAATTCTGCTTGAACTAGAAAAATTAGGACTAAGAATTCATTCTTGTAAATGATAAAAAAAAAAAAGAGATACATACTTATATTACCATAATCATTGTTTTCTTGGCTTAGTTATTAAATAAATTTTTAATTAAAACTAGAGGCATTATTTTTTCTATTAAATAGCCTTTTTAAGTTGTCAATCTAGTCCTATAAAAAAACAATACACTTTAACAGTTCTTCAGGTCAATGTTTGAGTTTTTCACAAAGTGAGATTTGGCACTGTATTCACATGTACTGCACTGCAAATGATACATACTTAATTGGACAAAAATAATGCCGGTCTTCAAGTACATCAAAAATGACACAACCTAACTTTTAAAATGAAGCATTAAGTGACACTTATGAACTTCTAATGAAGCTTGATATAAGTGTGAGTTGTCTGTTAACCAAAATAATGTTTAAATGCTTCAAAGAAAATTAAATACACACTGAAAATATTGGCTTCCAAGTTTTAAAACAATGCCTAACTGTAAAATACCTAATAACCATTCTGAGTGATCCATAAATACAAAACATCACTTGAGAAATCAGTATACTAATATACTAAGTTTTCTTTTATCATAGTAAATTTTATAAAATACATACACATATACACATGTACATA